CATGAGACACAAAGCACAAAGACAATCCCAAATCCTGCATGTCTCAACTTGCACGTCCATAATCTGGGGCGGCCGATAAATAGGAGTGAACAGAGGAAACATAGTTTAAGTGACACTAGGAGGAGGAAACTCAGTTCTGCATTGTTGGCTCGTACCATGGGTGTGCTGCGATGATGGATGAAGATTACCAGGACGACAGAACAGAGAAATGTGCCCAGCAATGAGGCAGTTGTCAAGCAGATACCCAACGGCTCATGAAAAGAGAGAAACTCGGTCTTCTTAGGCACACAGATGTCATGCTTTGGGCTGGACCAGAAGTCCTCTGGACAACTGGTGCACTCCATGGAGTCTGAAAAAAGGTGAAGTTAGTGAAGTTTATTGTTTTGTAAAAAGAACAATTTTCTAAAAGAAAATAAAGAAATATATTAAGCATGAAAACCCACCAGTTGTATTGCTGATTTTCCCCTCAGAACAAGGGACACAGTCAAAACAGCATTCAGGCTCCCCTTTCTTTCTGGCCATGCGGGTTCCTGGAGGACAGCTCTCACTACATACTGACTGAGGTGGCTGTTGTGAAAAAATACATTTGTGAATATATATTACCAAATCTGACTTATATTTGCAGTCAATGTTATCTGTATAATCAGAAATTACCTTTTTTGTAATAAAGTTCCAGAAGATTTTGTCTTCATCAATTTTAAGAACATCACCTTTAAAATCAGACCACTTAACATCACCCACATTTTGAACTTTAATTTTTCCTTCAGGGAGCCACAGCCAGTTGATGACATCATAAATTGGTAGGGCATCTCCATTCTCATCAAATGAAACTTGATCACCAAATGATGTGGTGAAGTTGACCTTTTGTAAATAATGAACAAGCTACAAATGAAAAACAGAAACAAAGGGAGTATTAAGGACTCAAACTAAACAAAGGTTTATCCCACTATTCAGTGATGTACAACTTGTCATTTATTTTTATCCTTTTATTCTATCTCTATATTTCTATACAAAATAAATAATTAAAACAAAACACAAAATATAGTAACTAATGATTGAGCATCTATCAATGAAAACAAAGGTAGAGTTTAAAGTGATATCACACCTGCCATGGCTCCAAAGTTTGCAAATTGGCACAGCTGTGCCCACTGAAAGGCCCTCTCCCTGGCTCACACTTCATCACATCATCAAGGGCATACGCTAGAGAATACACAGCTTTGTAAATATTGTACTCAGGCCTGAGGTTTGAAACATCTAAAAAATCGCTCTCAACATTTTGTATGTCTTCCTTTCCATTGCAGAGTGTTTCCCCAGCTTTCAGCCAACCCGGTGAAGCAAATTTACACCGAAATGTGGATTCCCAAAACTGCCTCACCTGAAATGCAATATATCATAAAATTAATTTGTATTAACAGATATACGCAAATAAAAGTCAATCAATAATTATTCATTTTAAAACAAATTGTTAGTGAACTCCCACCATGCTTGTTCCAGAGCTGTCATTGTTTACTTTGTCAGGATGTATTTGTATTAAAAACTCCTTCAGTCCTGGTATTTCCCCTCGACGGATGGCAATGCCGAGCGTGCCCTTCAGGTACGGCATGAGTTCGGTTGTTTGAAGCACAGTGGATGTTGTCCAGGCTTCACTTGCTATCCACTGTAGGCCTGTCACATTCTGCCTAAGCACCTGTGTGTAGCATTATTTAGAGTTTAGAGACATTAGCACAGATATTAAAAGAGTCTATTGAAATGTAAAGGAGCAGTCACTTATCAAACATGTCATATCATATCTTACTTTTTATGGGTATTGGTTGTTTTTTTGCTTTCTAAAAGTGCACGAAGTTGTGAAATTCACAACTGGCTTCCATAGTTTTTTTGTAACTTTCCTTTCTTGATACATTTACTCTAATTATTCAAGTTTGTTATAATTATTTCATCTGCATTGGATTAGTCCTCATAATTGCACAACAATTTTAATTAAATTGTTAATCATTTTATTTTTCTTACCCATAGTACTTTACATAGTAAAGTATATTTATTCTAACCTCTGCCATAAGATGTAGCATGTGAAACTCGTGTGCAAAAACCATAACCACACGGGCTTTGGATGTCTTCATCACATCAACAATCCTAGTAAGTTTAGTTGGGTCACTGTCCTGGGGCAAAACTTCTAAGTAGGCGAGACATCCTCCACTGGATTGAGTCAGATCAGATTGGAAGGATCGAGCAACATGGAGACCATAGTCATCATCACTGACTAGCAGGCCGACCCAAGTCCAGCTGAAGTGTTGCAGAATCTGTATCATTGCACTCACCTAATAAAACATATTGGTTTAAAAGGATCAGTGCACAGATCAGTAAACTCATTTTAATGACATCCACAAAAAATGGAAATTGTGGTAGTACACACAAATAATTAATTTTACCTATCCCACACATTAAAATCAGATGTGAAAATTAATATACAGCAAAAACTGTCTTGGGTCATTGGTGATTTTTGTGTCATGTTCGTTTCTACAATCTTTTTGTGAATGAAACTGACAAATATTGCAATTCTCATTGCGATAAAAAGGATTCACCTGGAAAGCATCACTTGGGATTGTTCTAAAGAAGGATGGGAACCGTTGCCGATGACTAAGGCAGGAACAAGTGGAAAAATAACTCACCTATAAAGGAACATACAGTTTTTGACACCCATTTAAGATAATCATATATTAAGAATACCATACTTTAAAAAATGCAATGATTTTAGACATCAAATAAACATACTTAAAAAAAAAAAACAATGATAGAAAAACTTACAATAGGCATTTTGAATAAACCCAGCACATTGGAAGTGGCAATGGAAAATGTAGAGGCAGAATCACCAACTATCCCCATGACTGGAGGGGTCCCTAAGCAGTTCTCCTCAAACACATAGTGCTCTTCTCTGCCACTGGCAAGTGATAATGCACCACCGAATCCAATGATAAGTGCAACACAGTTGTCATACAGACTGTATCCTAGAGTCACATTAGGTAACAGATCGGAGCTCCTGTTGATCTCATCAATAGCAAAGGCCATCGTCATTGCATGCCTGAACCCTAGAGTGTCAATCCTAACACACACAGTATAAAGATTAAAACCAAAACAAATAATAATAATAATAACCAGAGTATTCAAAGTAAATATTACAAGAACTAGCTGGATATTTATCAAAAAGCACTATGATGATAACATATTTCAATTTCAATGTTATACTTCAAACACGTTTTACAGCACTGTCCTTATATTGATACAATAATCAAACAACACAATTAACACAGATGCTTTCCGTCTGCTATGTTAATGAAACCTACCCTTTGCAGATGGGCCATTGTGGCTCTGAGGTGTAAGTCCACTCAGGGAAAACAGAGGAATAGTGCACCTCAAACAGCCCACCAAGAACCACATCTCCAGGCATGTGCAATTCATTAAGTTTAAATTTTCTCTGTAATTTACAAGATAAAGAAAAAGAATTAGATACAGAGTGGAAGGAGAAGAGGGACAAATAAACCAAGATAAAATAATATGTGTTAAGAAAAGCTCCCATATCTGCCCTCCTCCTTTTACAACTGGTTCCCTTCTTCATCTAGAGTTATATTTATATGCAGAGCATTTAATCCCAATGCACACTATCCTTTATTGTTCAATTCTTCATAACACCAGCCATCTGGGTGTTGGATATGGGGGCAGGACATTAAAACACACAACAAATTGTGTGCTGTTGCAATTGGGTGTTGTTAAGGATGGCCTAAAACCACCTGGCAAACCACTAAAACATGCTCACCTGTCAGTCAACTCAGCCACAAATAATGAATTATGCTAATGTATGTTCAACTCTTAGCCTTAGTCAAATAAAATCAATTTATTACAGAAGAATTCATCACACAGCAAATTTTTTTAATACAAATAAAGAAGTGAGTTTTTGACCAAAAAACTGCTTTTTTAACCAGGCTGCAAACATGTTTTTATTCTCCCGTTAAAAAAATGGGCATATCAAGATGGAGATGTAATGCAGATTCTTTGGTTTTTGGAGCCTGCCTCAAGTGGACACTCAGGGAACTGTAGATTTTTCAACACCAAAGGTTGCCACTTGTTTTTTTCTTTAGCTTGCGAAACTGCCTGGAAAGTAATAGATATAGATGGTAATAGATGATGTCAAAGAAAAAAATTCTATTGGAAAAGCGCATTCTTTTTTTTTAAACAGCCAAAACAAATAGATTAACTTCAAGTAAATCACTTTTTTCTAAACTAAGTTCAGGGAATGCTTCAATTTCCATTGTTGACCAGGGTCTAAGCTTCCTTATTTCAGATGCAGGTTTAGCTTTTTTATAGAGATGGTGCAAAGCTAGCTTGTTGTAGCTGTCCTGTAGGACTAAAGTTGTAGTGAGAGTCAATTTGGACAAAGGTGGTCTTATATAATAGTATCTTTACCCAGAATTTTATATTATTGCATGTCTCCTGCTGGCTAGCTAGGCTAGCGATAATGCTAGTGTTAGTAAGATAGTTGGAGCTTTAAATCCTGTCAACAAAAAATGATACCAAAGCTTTAAGCATGAATGGTCCCTAAAATTGATGGTTCTTGCTGTCTTGAAATTTTGAGTGCAGGGTGAGTGAAAAGGGCTTAAATGTAAGCTTTCCACAAGAAGCATATTGTTTAACATCAAGCTGAGAAACCAACTAATTTCCTTACCATTTTGGTGAGTCTAAAAGTACAAGGCCTTAATTGTTGTATTAGCTGTGTATTTGTTATATGTTGTGAATATTTATGTTTAATGTAGGACTTATTTAAGGCTGGTGGTTACTGTTTCAACTGATTTGAGATAAACAGGTCATAGATCTGAATAAAACAAGAGTATGCTTTATTTCTAATTAGACAAAGTAGACAGTTGAAAGCAGCAAAACTGACTTCAGGGAGATTTCTACTGAACAAATGCAACATACAAACTGGTTCAGACCACATGAAAGTTTAACAGTTGCTACTTTGACAAATTGGTGGTTCCTCTCCCCATGATTGCTTTCTTTGTGTTCCACTCTGGCCTCAGCAGGATTATGTAACATTTGGGTCCAAACAGTGCCACCAACAGGCCAAAACTGGAGGCCAGGATGGCAAATATTTCCACTGCATCTGCATATTTGCCTGGTGAGTTGACATAAGCAGGGACAAAGGCCACCCACACAGCACAGAAAATAAGCATACTGAAAGTGATGAGTTTGGCCTCATTGAAGTTGTCAGGAAGATTCCTTGCCAGAAATGCAAGCAGGAAGCTGATGATTGCCAGAAAGCCAATGTAACCCAATAAGACAACAAAGCCAATGGTGGACCCAACAACACATTCATACACTATCTTGTCATTGTAGTATTTGGTGTTTTTATGTGGAGATGGTGAGGAGATGACAATCCAGACGGTGCAAATTACTGCCTGAATAGAAGTAAGAACCAGGACTGTCCCTCTCTGTTGCATGGCACCAAACCACTTGAGAACAGCTCCTCCTCCTGGCTTAGAGGCCTTGAACACAGCAAGAACCACCATAGTTTTCACCAGAATACATGAGACACAAAGCACAAAGATTATACCAAATGTTGCATGTCTCAACTTGCATGTCCATAGTCTGGGGTGGCCGATAAACAGGAGTGAACACAGGAAACATAGTTTAAGTGACACTAGGAGGAGGAAACTCAGTTCTGTATTGTTGGCTCGTACCATGGGTGTGCTGCGATGATAGATGAAGATTCCAAGGACAACAGCACAGAGAAATGTGCCCAGCAATGAGGCAGTTGTCAAGCAGATACCCAACGGCTCATGATAAGAGAGAAACTCGGTCTTCTTAGGCACACAGATGTCATGTTTTGGGCTCGACCAGAAGTCCTCTGGACAACTGGTGCACTCCATGGAGTCTAAGGAAAAAAGGTTTTATTTGTTTGTGTTTTTGTTTCTTTCAAATTTTAACCGTGAGTTCCAAATTTGACTTTTAATTGTTTGTGGTTTTAGTCTTTACTAAATTCTGTCAATGTTCGTCAGCAATGACACACATTTACGCTATCCAAGTAGTTTCCTTTGCAATTTTAAAGAAATTGTCAACCTATCAACCTAGTTTGGTTGGATGGCCCACTCATACCAGGAAATGTACTTTGATTCTGCAAAGGTCCGCTTCTGATTTTTGTTTAAATCACCTTGGCACCAACAATTTGAAGACTCATGAAAACAAAACAAAAATTCACAATTTGACAAAGAGAATGATATAAAAATACTGACCTGTTCCATTGCTATACTTTCCTTCAGAACAAGGGACACAGTCAAAACAGCAAATGGGCTGCCCCTTTTTCCTGGTCATGCGGGTACCTGGTTGACAGCTCTTACTGCACACTGACTGTGGTGGCTATAGATATTGTAAGTGTTATCATGGGAACTCATTGGTGGTTCTATTATTAGGTGTCATACAATAGGAAAGGAAATAAAAAATAAATTTAAAAAACCTGTTTGGAGTCAAAGTTCCAGAAGATTTGGTCTTCATGAAGCGTGAGCTTTTCTCCTTTGAAGGCCGACTTTATAACAACACCAACAGTCTGCAGCTTTGTTGTTCCATCAGGGAGCCACAACCAGTTCATTATGTCATAGATCGGCAAGGCATTACCATTCTCATCAAATGACACTTGATCACCAAATGGTGTGGTGAAGTTGACCTTTTCCAAGTAATACATGAGCTAAAAAAGGATACAATGCAGAAAACACTGTGACATTTATAAATTTCATAGTTCTTGAGTTGCCATGTGCGTTCACATCTTTTATCAGATTGATTCTCTGAATTAGGTCCTGTGCCTATAGCACTTCCAGGCCTAATGTACTGTTTTCATTTGGTGTATTGTTACAGTAAGAAAGGAATTAATATTTTTGATTTTCACTTTTAACCTTTCTTCATTTTATTTATTTTCAAAAACATTAATTTCATGTGCTTTTTAGCGACTGGAAGGCATTATGTTAGCTTCACAATACTTGGCTGCACGTTGATTATATTTTTTACATTGTTGGACACAGTTTCCAAATCACAAGTCATTAAACTCTGTTTACTTGTTTAGTGATGTCTCCCGTCTGTGTTTCTGTCTGTGTTTCTGTCTATTTGATGACTTTCCTTCTGTCCTCCCGTTTACCCCTGTCTGTCTGTCTGTCTGTCTGTCTCTCTGTCTGTCTGTCTGTCTGTCTGTCTGTCTGTCTGTCTGTCTGTCTGTCTGTCTGTCTGTCATTTTGCCTGTCTCTTTGTCTATCAATTTCTAAAAAAACAACCACAAAAAATGGTCTGGATCTGCTCTTTTTGTAAAGTGTCAAGACATTTTTATTATGATATGTTGCTTTATTATTAAAAAGGGAATTGGTCGATTGATCTATTGTCCCAAAACGTATTTTGGTACACCTCAACAGAAACAACATTGTAAGATAAAGTGTAAATTGATAATATTGATATCACACCTGCCATGCTTCAAGTCTCTGCAGAGCAGCACAGCTGGGCCTACTGAAAGGCCCTGTCCCAGGCACACAACGCAGCATGTCATCAAGGGCATAAGCCAGAGAATACACTGCTTTATATATATTGTACTCTGGCCTGAGGTTTGAAACGTCCAAAAATTCAGTCTTAGCTTTCTGTAAGTCTTCATTTCCAGTGCATAGTGCTCCCCCAGCTTCAACCCAACCTGGAGGTGGAGAAAATCTACACTGGAAAGTGTATTCCCAAAATTGCCTTACCTGAAACAAAATTAAAACATATTAAAATGAATTACATTTTATTATAGTGATCATTGATCTGATTGAAATTCTACAATCTTACCATACTATTTTCATCCCAATTAATGTCATTAAATTCAGGACGTATTTGTGAGAGGAATTCCCTTAGCCCTGGTATATCTCCTCGTCGAATGGCAATCCCCAGTGTGCCTCCCAGATACGGCATGAGACGGGGTGTCTGGAGCACAGCAGCTGATGCCCAAGCTTCACTTGCCAGCCACTGCAGGCCTTTCACCTTTTGCTTTAGCACCTGTTAATGGCATTTTGTGAAAAATTTATATTTTTTCAGACAAAAATTTAGTAAATATGGTATTCTTAAAGGACTTCATTACGAAACAATATAAATAAAAAAAATTGATAATAAACCTCATGTATGTATTATTCAGTTAAGGAGCTGATCAATCAAATCTTAACTTAAGTTACTGAACAATATTTTTGTTTTCCAATTAAGTTTGAAGTAGTTTCTTTTAGCAGTCCTTTGAATTTATATTAAGATAGATAGATAGATAGATAGATAGATAGATAGATAGATAGATAGATAGATAGATAGATAGATAGATACCTCTTCCATTAGTTGAATCATGTGGATTTGATGGGCAAACACAATGACCACACGAGCTGTGGATTTCTTCATCACTTCCACAATCCTCTTCAGTTCTGTTGGCTTGTCGCCCCATGGCAAAATCTCTGAGTAGGCCAGACAACCTCCACCAGACTGAGCTAAGTCTGACTGAAAGGCTCGAGCAACATGGAGTCCATAGTCATCATCACTGACAAGCAGGCCTGCCCAGGTCCAGCCAAATCGTTTGAGGATCTGTATCATAGCTTGCACCTTAATGAATACAAAGGTGGAAATTAGTGTACAGGTTGGAATAAAGTTTAAAGCTGTAAACTTTCTATAGAAACAGGTTTTGGTGTTTTTTTCTGTATAAAAGAGTTTTACCTGGAAAGCATCACTTGGTATTGTTCTGAAGAAGGATGGAAACCGTTTCCGATCACTCAAGCAGGAACATGTAGCAAAATAACTCACCTATAAAGGAACATACATACAGTAGGCACAGGTTTCACCTTTGATGCAAGTCAGTGGAAACATTCATTAAAGTTTTTTTCATAGAATCTAAGGTGGAAATTCAGTGGTTATGTCCCTTTAAATCGTTTTACAGCTTTGAAATCCTAAACAGATCTAAAGCACAGCCAAAATGAAGGAAGGCAACTTACCATGGGCAATTTGAATAAACCGATCACATCAGAAGTGGCAATAGAAAATGTAGAGAAGGAATCACCCACAATCCCCAGGACTGGAGGGGTCCCCAAACAGTTTTCCTGAATCATGAACTGTTCTTCTCTACCGCTGACCAAAGACAAGGCAGCACTGAACCCAACTACAAGTGTGGCACAGTTATCATACAGACTGTACCCCAGAGTCAAATTTGGAAGCAGGTTGGAGTTTTTGTTGATCTCATCAATAGCAAAGGCCATGGTCATGGCATGCCTGAACCCTGAAGGGTCAAAACTACATAAAAGCACATAAAATGTCACAGTTGAAAAGTTAAATTTAATATAATATCAGTTCATAAGTTTACTGTCTGGAACCATGAGTGTGAGACTTACCCTTGGCAGCTGGGCTGACTCGGCTCCGAGGTAAATGTCAGTTCAGGGAAGACAGAGGTGTAGTGGACTTCAAACAGCCCACCTAAAATCACATCACCCGGCTTGTGCATCCCATTGAGATCAAATTGTCTCCTTAATTCACAAGATGAGTAAGATTCTGAAAAGCAAAAGAAGAAACAACAGTGCAAAAGCGAGATCAGGTAGACATACAAGTACAAATAATTGTGTAAAAATGCCCCCATAACTGCCCTCCTCCCATACACCTGTTTCTAGCCTTCACACACAAGTGCGTAAACTTTATATGCAGTGATATGTCATCTCTTTTGGTTTTTTTCATCATAGTATCACACCCATCAGGGCATGGGCTGTCATGTTAGGGCAGGGGAAACACATGTCAGATCAGTTCTATATAGATGCACAATGTCATGCTTTCATCATTTATGTTTTCCATATTCTGCTCATCACTTTTAATGTTTTGTTTGGCAAAGTCAATGTGAAGTTCATAATAAGTCACTGTTGCTTTTAAAATAATTTTTGTCCAAAGGAAAGTCAATTCACTCTAGAAGTGTGACAGTGGACGTGACAAATAAACAAGATCAAAGAAATACAGCATAACATATGCAATTATGCTAACACTATGAGTCTTTGTGTGAAATATAAGAAATTGCTGAAAATATCATTGAAGTCAAGATGTTTTTCTTCTTGCTGGAAACATAGTGAAGTGGCATCTGTACTAAGTGCCTTGTTTAACACTGGAGTGTTTTCTCAGAAAAATAGAACTCTACTGCCTAGAACGACTTCACAAACTTGTTGCTGCAGCTTTAACCTCAACCATCGGTTGATTTGGTGACAGCTTTGCGTGTTACCTCTTCTTTACAAGAATTATAAATGTTCCCCTCGACAGAGTGGTCAGGTCTAAACATTGATCCTCTATGCTCAGACTTGGACTATGATGATATATCCACTAGGTGGGGGTAGAGGGAGTCTCCAGAAAGTCAATGTACACATAATTCATACAAAGCAGGCTACCTCACTAGATTTTTATTGTTTGGTTGCTCAGTTTATACCTTACCAATGTGCATACACATTTTATTTTGAATCACTTGGAGTCTATGCTAAGCATGCATTAATGCATAAACTGGCACAGTTAAGTATACAACAAATAGAATGTAATGCACTGCACAAGATGTGATTAAGAGAACAAATCAAAGGAGTCTTACAAAACAAAAGGAATTTTCACCAACTTCTTAAATTACCAGAAAATTAGAATATCGGCCATTAAAGAACATCTTTGATGTAGCTTTTAAAGATTATTTACTTCAGAGGTTTGGTTAACTCACTTTAACATCCATCAAAGTCATCTCAGTATACAGTACTTCTTCAAATTTTGATAGACTATACTTTTTATTCAATGGTTTCTACCTAGCTCAGTGTAATAACTTTATACCACAGATGAGATATTACAGCATATAAGAAACCCTTGATGCACTTGCGAGGTTTAACTGTAATAAAAATATATTTAGTATCTAGAGTAGTAGCAAGATAACAAGAGGAGAAAAGCAACAGGGGCACTTTAAGAAGATTACATTATACATTCAGCCAAAGTGCATTTTCTTTGTGATGTCAGATGACGTAAAGTAAAAGGAGGTAAGCCTTTGTTTTAAAATCTATATAAATCAGTGGAAACACATGATAAGCGTGCCCACATACAGACACCTGAGATATGGAGGTCCCAACTCTCTTTATTGGCCTGATCATGTATCTGGGTTTGACTAGACTGAATTCAGCTCTAGTCTCTATTAGTTCTGAGAAAGATCTGAAAGAAAGGGCTGCTCCTGAGGTCAGCACCGGGGCCACATCTGTGAAATGTCAGCTTCAGGGTGTCACTCGTCCTCCTGCCTTCTCAATGGATGGTGACTACATTATTGGGGGTGTTTTCTCCATTCATTACTACATGCACACAGTGAAGCATAACTACACCAGCCTGCCAGAGCCACTGAGGTGCACAGGGAGGTTAGTGAGAGGGAGAAGATTTTTGTGAGGAGGAATATGTTGTGGATTTTCAACATGTGCTTAAATCTGTGCCTAATGAATATTTTTATGTGTCATAAAATGTTTGCTTTTTCTGCACATTGACTAAAAAACATAGCTTGTTTTTACTTGATTCAAACATGCTTAAATAAGTTGGATTTAGTTGACTGGTCTGTATATTCAAATGACTGTGTTGTTGAATTTTGATTAACAGATTGTAACGATGGTTTATTATCCCCAACTATGAATAGCAATTATCCTTAAATGTATGTTTCTACTATAATTGTAAATATTCCTGGATAATGTATAGGCCTACATTTCTACAGTGACACTAGTGTCTGTGTACAGTTTGGACTCCCGTGAACTGCGCTTCTCGCGCGCAATGGTCTTCGCCATCGAGGAGATAAACAACAGCACGGAGCTACTGCCGGGCATCAAGCTCGGTTACCAGATCCATGACTCGTGCGCTTCAGTGCCTGTGGCAGTGCACGTGGCATTCCAGCTGGCAAACGGTCTTGACCAAGTGTTTAATACCAGCGAAAAATGCTCGCAATCCGGTATGGCAATGGCTATTATTGGAGAGTCTGGGTCCACGCCTTCCATCAGCATGTCGCGCGTAATCAGCTCCTTTGCCATTCCGCAAGTACATATTTAAAATTTCAATGTTTTTGATTTAAGACAAATCTATTTTAATGTCCACTCAGTTAAATAAGAACACTGTTTTGGGGTAGGTGAGCCACTTTGCCACGTGCGAATGCCTGTCCGATAAGCTGCAGTACCCAAATTTCTTCAGAACCATCCCCAGTGACCAGTTCCAGGCTGACGCGCTGGCCAAGATGGTCAAACACTTCGGGTGGACTTGGATTGGAGCTGTCCGGTCTGATTCAGACTATGGCAACAATGGCATGGCGTCTTTCCTGGACGCAGCGCGGAAGGAGGGCATCTGTGTGGAGTATTCTGAGTCTTTCTACCGGACCAACCCACGAAGCAAGATCCAGAGAGTGGCTGACGTTATCCGCAGGTGTCTCTGTCACAACTGCCCCCCACCCCCCTCAAAAATAACAACTGTAGCCAAATATAAGATGAAAAAAAATAGGCAATTTATCATTTTCTTATCATGTTTATCCAACACATATTCGTTATGTTGTGAAAATACTCGGTAATAACAATACTGTACATTAAACAGACCCCATAAACTCAAGGATCACATTATTTCTGTGAAATATCTCAAAACATTTTAAATAGATGTTTATAGATGTAAAAAATAATTCACTACTTTCTTTCTCCAGGTCAACAGCTGTTGTTGTTGTGGCATTTGTTGCCTCTGGAGACCTGAGGATCCTGCTGGAAGAGCTGTCTCTCAAGCCTTCTCCCCCTCGCCAGTGGATAGGCAGTGAGTCCTGGGTAACAGACCCGGACATGCTGAGGTTCAGCTTCTGTGCCGGAGCCATTGGATTCGGAATTCAGCAATCTGTCATCCCAGGCTTCAGAGACTTCTTGTTGGATCTCTCTCCCACTGAAGTTGCTGCCTCTCCCATGCTTACTGAGTTCTGGGAAGATACATTCAACTGCAAACTGGGAAAAAGTGAGAAAGTTTCGCTGACTTACCATCACATTAGTGACACAGTTTTGTTCCTGCAATTTATCTTTTCATTTTTTTGGTTGTCTCAGTTGAGCTTCTACAGTAAAACATGTAACAATAACAGTTTATGGAAATGAGGGAATTCCTACCAATGTCATTACACTTCATAGAAGACATCATAATAATTCTATTGCAATGAAAAATTAAGGCCTGAAATGCTTGGTTTTACTAAAAATAAAAAGGTGGCAATACCGCAGGCAAAATTTTATTTTAATATTTGAAGAAAGATGAGAATCAGCTTTTTTTAGACCAGGTATGGAATTGACTTTGATACACTGTGCTCTCTATGTATGTGTTTGTTTGTATGTGATAAAGAACTCAATTAAAGAAACTTAAAAAGTAAATTATGCTTGTTGCATTAGCAGCTGTTTATTTACCTGGACCTTTTTTTCTGCTTGTAATATCTTGAAATAAGATGTTTATCTGGACTTTTCAGGTGAGTATTGCTTATAACATCTGCAAGTTACCCTTGCCAATTTCTAAAGTATTATAAGTGTTAAAACAGGTCAAGACAGGTTGGCATTAAATGAAAATTTCAACATATTTGATGTCTTTTAAAATGTTCTTAATTTTTGGAGAGAGAACAGTCATTTAAATTAAATGACAAGGGAAGCATGACTACATCACAGTGCTTTGAAATGTGTCACAAATTAAGAATGTTTGTACATCAATTTTGCTTTATGGGTAACAGAGTGTGGGAGAAAGTAAAAATAATAATAATAAATAAAATGATATGTATTCCATATGAATATATATGTCATGGCTAAAAATCATCTCACTCTTTTTCCGTGTGATTTTTTTTAGCTACATCTGAAGGTGAGAGTGTGTGTGCTGGGACTGAAGACATACACACCCTTCAGAGCCCGTACACTGACACCTCTCAGCTCCGAGTCACTAACATGGTATACAAGGCTGCCTATGCCATAGCTCATGCTATTCATGACACAGTGTGTCGGAACACAAATACTACAGCTCAGTGTGACAAATTCAGCAGAATAGAGTCACAAGAGGTCAGTCAAAACAAATAAGTAAAGCCCGAATATGCTTTTTTTCCCCCTGCTGTTACATACATTCACAGTAAGGTAAATCTTTTAATTCACTTTATTTTTTTTCCCTCCATCACTGTCTTACTGGACTTCATTCTCACAGGTTCTTAATCAGCTGAAGAAAGTAGATTTCATTCAAAATGGTTACCATGTGTCATTTGATGTCAATGGGGATCCTGTGGCCATATATGAGCTGGTTAACTGGCAGAGAAGTCAAAGTGGCAGCATTGAGTTAGTGACGGTAGGACACTACAATGCATCATTGCCGGTGGGCAAGGAGTTCCACATCAACAAGGACCTCACCTGGGTGGAGGGTGGCACACAAGTAAGCAAGAGCCCAAAATAATTAAACTGACACTTCTATTCAACTAGGGGGATCTGAAAGGGTTTTCCGTTTCTTGTGGCCTTAATGGCTGTGAAGAGGTCTACTACTGTACTTGTATCTGTGTAAGAGATATGGAATTAACTCCCAGTCCTCTTTTTGTGCTGTCAAACGTTTGGATAATATTATGCTTAAGCAGTCTGCGAAAGAGAAAAACTTTGGGCAAATTATAATAGCTTTCAGAATGAAATTCTGCTTTCCAAGAATGTGTCGACATGCTGAACTGCAACAAAGCAAGAGTAATAATAGAGATAATTTGGACTCTAAATATATACATTTTTTAAGATTACCATTTGACTTTTATAGCTGAGGCTACTGAAGCCCATTTTTTCTGTCTAATTGTCTTCAAAGAAATAGTGTAGATTTTGTTCCCCAACATTTACACTGAATGTATTTCCTCACAGCCATTATGAAAAAGATTGTGCCCATAATGCATATCTATAGATGTTTAGTATTTTAAGCCAGACGTAAAAAAAACGTGATCAATTCTTATAAAAGCTGTCCATAAAACCTGAATATGTGTGTATGTCCGTATACCTAGGTGCCTGTGTCTATGTGCACTGACAGCTGTCCACCAGGAACTCGTAAAGTGCTGCAGAAAGGAAAGCCCATCTGCTGTTATGATTGTATACCATGTCCTGAGGGAGAGATAAGCAATGCTACAGGTGCGTTTTTTTTTCTGATACATATCTGCAACTTCAATATATATGACCTCTAAAAGCCCTTTCTGATCTATTCTTTCAGATTCCTCTGATTGTTTACCCTGTCCGAGGGAGTTCTGGCCTAATTCAGAGAGAAACACTTGTTTCCCCAAGCCTGTAGAGTTTCTTTCCTTCAACGAGGTCCTAGGAATTGTCCTGGCTGCATTCTCAGTCGGTGGAGCCTGTCTTGCCATCACAATAGCAGCTGTATTCCTTCGTCATAGAAAAACTCCAATTGTCAGGGCCAACAACTCTGAGCTGAGCTTCTTGCTGCTCTTTTCCCTGACTTTGTGTTTCTTGTGTTCATTAGCGTTTATCGGAGTGCCCTCTGAGTGGTCCTGCATGCTGAGACACACAGCGTTCGGCATCACCTTTGTCCTCTGCATCTCTTGTGTTCTTGGGAAAACGATAGTTGTGTTAATGGCCTTCAGAGCTACACTCCCAGGTAGTAATGTGATGAAATGGTTTGGGCCTCCACAGCAAAGAATGACCGTTGTGTTTTTCACTTTTATTCAAGTATTAATATGCACTATTTGGTTGATTCTTAGTCCCCCTTTCCCAATGAAAAACCTTAACATATACAAGGAGAGAGTCATCCTGGAGTGTGCACTAGGCTCAGCTATCGGATTTTGGGCTGTGCTTGGCTACATAGGTCTATTAGCCATCTTTTGCTTTGTGTTAGCTGTCCTAGCCCGTAAACTACCTGATAATTTTAATGAAGCCAAGCTCATCACCTTTAGCATGCTCATATTCTGTGCAGTCTGGATCACGTTTATCCCAGCTTATGTCAGCTCTCCTGGAAAGTTTACTGTGGCTGTGGAGATATTTGCCATTCTTGCCTCCAGTTTTGGACTCATACTTTGCATATTTGCTCCAAAGTGTTTCATCATATTGTTCAAGCCAGAGAAGAACACTAAGAAACATTTAATGAACAAATATCAATCCTAAGACATCTGAAGTTACAATAAATAGGATGGCAACTTTCAGTAGAGACTTTATAAAGCATCCGTGCAAATTCAGGTGTCTTCTTTAAGTTGATTAAAAGTCATCTTATTTATTCTTTTTTGAATTTCAACTGTGTTGTTTTATCAAACAAGTCATTTCACAAGATGCTGATAATATAGAATAAGTAAATAAATAAAGTTGAAAATTATACAATATGCTGCCTTACTGAGTGTTTTTTTTAATTTCCATAAAATAATTGTTGTTTGAACTGTATCAATGTTTAAAAAAAGAGTCTACATGATGATTTATGGAGATGACATGACTATTCCTTTTCAAAAGTTGCCTCACTTATTACACTGTATAATCAAACATCAAAGCATTTTATGTTTTGCGAACACTTCTTTTGCCACAAAGACATTTTGTAATATGGAAAGATTGAAGGTGTGACTTTGCATTTTGGGAAAAAGATACAATTCATCATACTGACATACTAGGTCTTAACTAACAATCCATGGTATGTAATAGAATAGGACACAAATAGATGCATATCACAATTTGACCAACTGTAATTTGTTATAGACTGAGGTACTGACACCACAATGTGACCATGTATTCTACTGTGGAGAAGCCTAAGTGTCTCCTATGAACATTTTCTATCAGCATCTTTGATATTGCGGTGATAATATTAAAACATCAGAAGGCATGAAAGATAATGTAGCAGCATATTAATTTAATCATATTACATCGTTACAGTTCATAATTATAATGCATTAAAAACACTGGATGTCCATCCTTGGGATCTATTACTGCAGTTACATAAAAAGATGAATGTTGAGGGTGATTTTGACATGGCTATTTTTAACAGTGGGGACTTACAAGGGTAATGGAGAAACCCTGAGGAGTGTGATGAGATCTGACCTTATGTGTTGTTTTGTAACTAGATTTCTGTGAAAATTATGGATTTTACAGTAGAACATGTTCAGCAGGGGATTCATGTGGCACCATGATTCATTTTGGGGTTATTTCCTCTAAACTGCAGTGCTGTATGATCAGATAATGTACTGAAGAGCAGAAAAAGTTGGCTTGTGTACTGAAGAGCAGGAAAAGTTGGCTTGGAAGAAATTAATACAGGCCTAATTTCTTCATATACTGCCAACACAAACTGGACTCAGTTAAGTGTTTGCATCTAAAAATATCTAAGACGGACTACTGCCATGCCAAGAAAAAATGACCCTTTATTTATAGTTGGGTGTGTTTTTGAACAGAATCTTTGTCTCCACAGTGTTTTATGACTTTGTAGCACCTCTCCCCATGATTGCTTTCTTTGTGTTCCTCTCTGGTCTCAGTAGGATTATGTAACATTTGGGTCCAAACAGTGCGACCAACAGACCAAAACTGGAGGAAAGAATGGCAAATACCTCTACTGCATCTGCATATTTCCCTGGTGAGTTGACATATGCAGGGACAAAGGCCACCCACACAGCACAGAAAATAAGCAAACTGAAAGTGATGAGTTTGGCCTCATTGAAGTTGTCAGGAAGATTCCTTGCCAGAAATGCTAGCAGGAAGCTGAGGATTGCCAGCAAGCCAATATAGCCAAGTAATACTGCAAACCCAACTGTAGACCCCACTACACACTCATAAACTATTTTGTCATTGTGATAAAAAATGTTTTTATGAGGTGTTGGCGGGGAAGTCACAAGCCAAGCAGTGCAAATTGCTGCTTGAACAGATGTTAGAACCAGGACTGTCCCTCTCTGTTGCATGGCACCAAACCACTTGAGAACAGCGCCACCTCCTGGCTTGGAGGCCTTGAACACGGCAAGAACCACCATAGTTTTCACCAGAATACATGAGACACAAAGCACAAAGATTATGCCAAACCCTGCATGTCTCAATTTGCACGTCCATAGTCTGGGGCGGCCGATAAACAGCAGTGAACACAGGAAACATAGTTTAAGTGACACTAGGAGGAGGAAACTCAGTTCGGAATTGTTGGCTCGAACCATGGGTGTGCTGCGATGATGGATGAAGATTCCCAGGACGACAGAACAGAGAAATGTGCCCAGCAACGATGTGGTTGTCAAGCAGATACCCAAAGGCTCATGATAAGAGAGAAACTCAGTTTTCTTAGGAACACAGTGGTCATGCCGGTCGTTTGACCAATAGTCCTCTGGACAACTGATGCATTCCATAGAGTCTAGGGAAACAAGTGAGTTATTGCCATTCATATTCAACATGTCTCAAAAATATTGAACATAAACACCAACCAGTCTCATTGCTAATTTTTCCCTCAGAACAAGGAACACAGTCGAAACAGCACTCAGGCTCCCCTTTCTTTCTGGCCATGCGAGTACCTGGAGCACAGCTCTCACTGCATACTGAGCGAGGTGGCTGTGTTGGGAAAAAGTGTCTTTAATTCTAGAAGACTGCTATAATGACTTTCATTAGGCTTAAAAGGGAAAGGTTTCGAAATAAATTACCTCTTTGGGTTCGAAGTTCCAGAATATTTTGTTTTCATCAATTGTGAGTTCTTCTCCTTTGGAGTGTGACCTCTTAACCTCTCCCACACCATGAACTTTAGTTCTGCCATCAGGGAGCCACTGCCAGTTCATGATATCATAGATTGGCAAGACATCACCATTTTCATTAAATGAAACAATATCACCAAATGATGTGGTGAAGTTGACCTTCTGTAAATAATGAACAAGCTACATATGGGAAAAGACAAAGAAACTTGTTTCTGCATCCCCTATTAAAATACATATTAAATAATAAAGAAAAGAAAGAAATAAAGTTTTAAAATTCTATATGTATTTCTTAGTGTACAACAAACAATTTAAAGCGTAAACATTATTAGCAAGTTACTGCATCACTATTAAAACATTACAACTTTTCTATTTGAATGGAAGTTGTAAAAGTGTTTTTATGCCTGACATTATTCTTTACTATGTTTTATTTAAGAACTTTCTGTGATTTCAAACTCCAAATTTTGTAGTAAATGATGTTGTAATGCAGGTTTTATGAATACTAAACTTGTATAGCACCTGCCAAGGCTCCATTCTTTGTAAACTGGCACAGCTGTGACCACTAAAAGGCCCTGTTCCTGGCACACAGCGCAGCATATCATCCAGGGCATACGCCAAAGCATACACAGCCTTGTACACATTGTAGTCTGGCCTGAGCTCTGACGTATCCAATAACTCTGTCCCTGCACTCTCTAGATCTTCCTGCCCAGTGCATAATTCTCCCTCCGCTTCAATCCAACCTGCCAGAGTGGGTCCAATTGTGCACTGAAATGTGTACTCCCAAAACTGCTTCACCTGGGGAAGAAAATAAAAAATTTTGAAAATGAGAAGAAATTTGAAATTTGAGTGCCGAGATGAAGACAAGGGTCATTACTATGCTATTTCCATAGCTGTTGTTGTAGTTTTGGTCAGGACGTATTTGTAGGAGGAATTCCCTGAGCCCTGGTATTTCTCCTCGACGGATGGCGATTCCCAGTGTGCCACCCAAGTAAGGCATGAGATGCGGGGTCTGGAGCACAGTGGATGCTGTCCAGGCTTCACTTGCCATCCACTGCCGGCCGGTCACATTTTGCCTCACAACCTTAAAATTTCACCATAGTGAAAATGATAATTCACATTGACATGCAACTGAGTATTATGCAAGTAAATGAGCATTTAGATTTTAGTTTAATCATATCATCAAGCAAATATGTAATACTTCTTACCTCTTCCATAAGATGAATCATGTGAATCTCATGTGCAAAAACAATGACCACACGGGCTGTGGATGTTTTAATCAAATTCACAATCCTTCTATGTTCCATGGGGTCGTTGCCCCAGGGCAGAATCTCTGTGTAGGCCAGACAACCTTGACCAGACTGTGCCAAGTCTGACTGGAAGGAGCGGGCAGCATGAAGTCCATAGTCATCATCACTGACCAGAAGGCCTACCCAAGTCCAGCTGAAGTGGTTTAGAATCTGGATCATAGCACGCACCTGATTATAGTGATAGAATAATGGAATTCATATATATAGTTCAATGTTTGGCATAAAAACAAATAATAGATGCCTCATCAAATCCACATAAATTCTCTAAATAAACATAAAGCCCTTATGCAATGCAAGTAAATATGTACCAAAGTCTGTGCTTTGCTGCTTCAATGTACCTGGAAAGTATCACTTGGAATTGTTCTAAAGAAGGATGGAAAACGTTTTCGATCACTCAGGCAGGGACATGTGGCATAGTAACTCACCTGCGGAAGAAAAGTGAACGCACAAGCAGGTTTTCATTTTCATTCAGGCTGGTAAACCATTCAAGACACTAAATCTGCAATATTTATTAAAATAGAGCACATGAAAATATCCTCAGTTGGCACGTTGAAAAAGAGAGAATATATCAAACTTACAATGGGCAATTGGAATAAACCTATCACATCAGACGTGGCAATAGTAAAAGTTGAATATGAATCACCAACAATCCCCAAGACTGGATTGGACCCCACACAGGTCTCATCCAAAAGAATCTGCTCCTCTTGACCACTGGCCAGTGACAGAGAAGCACGTAATGCTATTCCAAGTGTGGCACAGCTGTCATAAAGATTGTATCCCAGAGTAACATTAGGTAGCAGGTTGGGGTTTTTGTTGATCTCATTTATAGCAAATGCCATGGTTTGAGCATGCCTGAATCCTTGAATATCAAAGCTAACACACAGAATGACACCATCAACAGAAAGCAAATTATACATATCCCTCATCATCATCATCTGTGCATGAGAACCTGGTAAAACATACACCAAACAGGCAGGCATTTGTTACTTTCAACCATCTGTAAAAATGAGTGAATGCATTTTAACACACTTTTAATTCATACTTTAAACATGTCATGTACTGAGCAGTTCCTTTAACATCGCACCTCTCTTAAATACCTAGGTTAAGGAAGAATAAATGACACAATTCAATGGTGTGAATGTGTGCAACTCACCCTTGGCACCTCGGC